AAGCAATCAAGCATCCAATAGTATTGCAAGGGGGGGTTGTGAAGAATGCATACCCTTATTTATGTATTTCATTCTTTTTCAAATGATTGCAGAGTATATGAAAGCACAGGACCGACAGCAATAGCGAAAGCTTTCAGAAGAGGTCATGAGCCGTGGCGAACATGTCTAGAGAAGACAAGACACGTATCTCTGCAAGCTCTAGTGATAACCCTCCACCCTAACAGCTGGTCCTCCCTGTAGTACCAAAGCACCCACTCCAGACACCCAACAAGCATGTATCAGATGTTTGCCCTCTCCCAAGTTCATCAAGAACAGCTACTCAAATAACCCCAGTCTCTCAAGGCAAAATTGTATTATCAGTTCCACCTGCACCTCCACCATTTCAGTCAATACATTGAAAGGTTCACAGGAGATAAAAATTCTGCTCAAGTCCTGAATAATTAGAGCTTGCAGGTGACAATGGCTGGGCCTTCAAAGTGTTCTGAAAGATACCAACAAGACAGTATGGACACACTGAACAATAATGTACTGTTTTTGCAAAATCTTTCCATCACAGACTTTATTCAGACAGATGGGAGGGCTGTCCTCTGTGTAAGGCTCTGTTCTAGAAGCTCAGAGATGAAAAAAAAAATGTAAATTCAACAAGTGAATATTCATAAGATAACTTCACTAGCCTATTTTATATTTACAAGTCTTTGCTTGAGAACATACCTCCCAAAACCAGACATTTAAACTAATGAACCATCCAGACTGACACTAGCTCTGAACCTTCTCATCACAGCAGCTCAGCAAACAACGGCTCTTGGGAGATCTGGGCTGATGGGAACCTTTCCCTCATGGGCAGCAACTGAGCCAGCTCCACTTCTACCAGTGAAGCCTAAACCTGATCTGTTTTATCCTGTTCTCTCCTCTTCTCCCAAGGTCACATCATATTAATAAAACAAGATTTCTCACCAGTGGCTTCCCCCTTACGTAGGGGAGAAGAGGTAGGAAAAGGTAATTTTGACTAACTAGTTTTCTTCTGTACACAGCTCCATCCTCCCAGCATGATGACCAGCTCCTAAATACAGTCCAAGTTTCCTGGCAGTACCACTGCTTCCTTAGCTGAAGCAGCACTCAGGATTCACACCTCTCCAGTTAAACCCCTTGTAGAAGCCTGTCATTTGTTTGAAATCTTCAAAAAAGCAGCAGAAACACACTTCACCCCGATCTAAGTGAGGAGCAAGACTGAAATTCAGAAGACATTAAATAGTCCATTGAAAAGAAGACACAGATTGTGGAGTAGGGAGCAGTTAGGATCCTGAGAAACAAATTTCTGCAATGGTATTATTTACTATGCAGTCTCTGTAGACAATAAACCCAGACAGGGCTCATTAGTATGCTAAAAATCAGTTTCTAAACTGATCCAGTTAAATTATGTAAGACTGTATGGATACTGATTTTAACATTGGATCATTTCATTTTATCAATGCATCCACACCAAAATTAAGTCTTTTAACGTAAATACATATCCAGGCAGATTTCACCTTTATGCTTAAGAGTCCTTAAAAATCACACTTTCATTATATTGATAACTTCTGGCTAGGTGAACAAGCCCAGTCAAAAGGTTATTTCTGGCTCCCACACTGAGCCATGTCATTCATTCTCTTTTATCCACTATACCTTCCTGATGCATTTTCTGACTACTATGCCACGCCAACAACACAAGGACTGTTTTCAGAAGACTACACAAGACCTTTGCCACCTCCTTGTATAGATATCATTTCTGCTTGCATTCTTAAATGCCAGAGCTTGAGAAAGAATAATGAAAATAAGATTCAGCTGCAATATTTGTACTATTTTAGGCAGCACATCTCAAACAGAAAAAAGATATCACAAGTCTACCTTAAGTAATAATAAAAAAGCCAACAAGACATCACTACTTCCAATCCCTAATCCTCTTAAAGATGTCCAAAACTATTATTGGAGGTAGATGATTTAACAGAATAATGCCTATAGATTCCTACTCAGATGACAGCTATATTGCCTGGGCACTGCTGACACAGGCTAAGTCATAGCCCCTTTTTCAGGCAGCTCTCAGTCTAAATGGATGATGTTTGCTCTTCATTTGCACAATGAAGAACTGAAGCAGAGAAAAACAAATGGCATGTCCAAGAACTCTGCCTACATCAGTTCTTTCCTCATACTCATCACTGAAGTATCCAAGTACCTTTTACTAGTACGTTGACCAGACATGAGACAGAAAAAAGTATCTGTCACACACAAGGTCTATTGGAACCTGGAAACGGAACCTGGAAACGGAACCTATATGATCTGGATCCAGGCTCAGTCCTCCCACTTCACCCTGAGGACACCTTCCTCTCAAAAGATCTCCTGTGATTTGAAAAAGCATTGGCCCTGGATAATGAAATACTGGATTCAGGGAATATACTACTAGAGAACCTCAGAATCTAATTGAAATTTCCTGTCATTAAAAAATGTAGTGGCAGTGATGGAAAGTAATAAAAGTGTTTCTTTAAGTGACCGGACTGACATTTTTGTGATTTGAAACTCTCTCATTGCTAGGATTTTAAAGTGCAGATATTTTATCATCAGATTGGAACCCAACTGGTAAGTATCAATGTTATGAGAAACTCAGCAGAGAAACAGTGACCCCATTATATGTGAAAGAGCATTGCTATTTTAGCCAAAGAAATTTACGATTTTTCAATCTTGTCTTGCATTGCAAGAGTTCCTCTGATTTTTCTTAGGAGAAAGCCCACGCAGATTCCTCTGTGAAGCTGTACTGCAAGATTGGAGATACTGGATGAGTCTAGGAAAAGCTGCAGAGCCAGTTTCAGCTTCCCTACAGACTGATAGTCCATAACCACATATATAATTGCTGAGGACTGCAGATGAAATCCTGGCTCCAGCAAATTCAGTGACTAAATTTTCAGTAATTTCAAGGGGGCCAAAACTTTCCTGTGAAGCTTTGGCTCCACAAAACAATTCATCTAGTTGTGAAGTACCTACTACTAGATCAAAAAAGTCAAAACCACAAGACAACAAACTGAACTGAGACAAAAAGCTGATACTTCATATTAGTTTGGGCACAGGCGTGCTCCATAAGAGTTTCTGGTGAAGTTAATGCTGTCTGTCCTCTATAACCAGCATAAACACCACATAATGTGTTCAGGCTAGTTCAACAGAAGTGACATTGTGTCTCATTCACATTAAACACACACCGCCTAGTAATTTAGCAACATCCAAATGGTTTTTAATGTTCATGAAACCGTTGTCTGTGCTCTTACCACAAAGATGTTTTCAGACCACCTGTGTAAGAAGACTGAACAATTCAGCTTTGTGTCCTAAGGCATGGATGTTGATCTATGCCATCCTCCCTCACAGAACAGCTGCATCTGAGAAAAGTCTTTTTATAAAGTCTGTCACACTGCACAGTCAGTCAGCTTTAAGTTGATTTTTGTTCTTTGTCTTTGATTTCCCCTCTGTCTTTGTTCTGCTGGTGCTTCAGCATTAGAGGAAGCCATTTTCTTTAACATTATCACTGTATTGGGCTGTAATTCACTGGAGGTTCTGCTACAACATCATTGAACTCAACTACCAAAGAGCCTCATTAGTAAAAACTGACTTCAGAATCCACCATTATCCTTACGCTTCTCTGTACTGCCAAGAACATTTGACATATCTTTTCTTGTTGTATGGGACTGAATCAGAACAAAACAACATAGGAAAAACAAAACCAGAGTATGAGAAGCCTTGGTAGATGGTAGTTTACAGCATAATTTAATTAAAATTGAAGGCCTAGACAGCAATTATCCATGAAATACCATGTGACACGCAGTGTTGGCTGGTTGGTACCAAAGCAAAATTGCATCTGTGTAACAGTCACTTCCTAAGGAGGATCTTTGAATACTTATGCAGTCACTTCCATGGAAGCTTAGACAATGTCAACAGGATTCAGAGAGATGGAGAAAGCACCAAATGAGTGACTCCGTACAAACCAAAGAGCAGACTCCAGCAGTGAAGAGTCATAGGGGAGGCCAGGACTGAAGATGAGAAGGGACAAAGATTAAGTCAGAGTTGGGATATATTGAAGAAGATGTAAAAACCACATCCTGCCTGTGGTTCTGCCCATGAAAACCTGCACAAATCAAAGGGTGCATTAGTCAAAGATGGGATACTAGATTTGGAAACAGACCAGACACAGTACATATATATTTATTTCCTGAAAGAAGGGAAATAACCCTCAAACTCAAAGCAGAACTACCAGAAAAAGAGATGCAAGAGAAGTGACGAGAAAATATAAACATCAGAATAAGGTAAGCATGTCCAGGCATCATTGTCAAGCTCAGCAGGCACGTTACAGAGTATACCTACACTTCATCTGGCTTCAAATTGTTCCTTTTGCAGGCAATAAAATTACTGCACAAATCCCAGAGAATAAACTGAGTTAACACCCCATTAAATACAACAGACTTTCAATTCAAGGCAAGGATGTACCCAGATTAAGCTACCCCTGCACAAGCTGTCCCATGGGTAATATACATCAGTTCTACTGACTTACTGTCTAAAAAAGAAAAAAAAAAAAAAAAAAAAAAGGAAAAAAACCTGAGATGCTTGGGAGTGAATTCTATTAGGAGGAATTTCTACAAGGTAAGGTTCTACAAGAAAGGATACATTCTTTGAAGCATGCTTAAATGCACAACGTATTCCTCCATAAACATTCTTTCTACAGTTGAATGCATACCCCAAGGGAGAAATTTGTTATTTTGTGTATTTTCTTTTATCAGTAAAATAATCTTACTCCCCCTTCCCCCCCCCCGCCCGATTAAGCAGTTTTGATTTTATACCTTCACTTTGTTTTGTCAGTATGTGGCTTGGAAACTGGTACCAGAGAGAACGGCACTGTTGCTGGGTTGATTTGTTGCCCCCATTTCACAGAAGACAAGATAATTTAAAACATTTATTTCCATAGTTTTGCTGTTTCTAAACACTTCAGCTGCAGTAGTTGTGGGCCCCTTCCAAATTCACTACTCCTCCAATGACATTCATTGAGAAAAAATTTCTCTATAGGAAAAATCTTCGCTGGCAGAGACACTTAGTTGATTTTAGCTGGTTTTAAGCTGAAACAGCACAAAGGAAGAGGGCAAGAGAGGGAAAGGCAGGCAGGACAGGAAAACATACAGATAAAGGCAACAGCATGAAGCCAGGAGTTAGGTTTAGATTGTCATGTATTTACTGACAACTTTAGATGCTGAAAAGGGGATAGTTCTCTATAGCCTGTGCCCCCCCATAATTTCAGCGTACAGTTTCATGAAACAGTGAGCCAAAGTGCAAGCAAGATACCTCCAGAAAGGAGTTCCTGCCTCTCCCTTCTCTCTGATCCTCTGCTTACTTTGCACAAACCCTAGTGCTTGCCAGAGCTCAGCCAATTCACAAAACACAGCAAACTTTCAGGAAGAAAAGAGCTGGGTAGTTTTCTACTATTTTGATGAGTTAGTGAAGCTCACAGTTGGGCAGGGATGCTCTTGGCTGGAGTAAGATCATAGTGAAGCAGCTACCACCATGCTATATACACTCTAGCTCCAGAGAGCTAGCAGTGCTGTTTAAGTGTGAAGCTGTTCCAGGTTCCCAAACTGAAAGCCAGCTCTGAAAAGGCACAGTACTATGTAAATACCAACAGTTGCAAAGCTTCCATTATGTGGATTTATGTATTCACAGTTCCTGCTAGTTAGGAAGCTAGAGAAGTCAGCTGTGCTGATTTTATGTATCAGCCAACACAGATTCAGCTTTAGCCAACTAGAAACCCTTATCACAGCCATTCCTTGCTGTCAGAACACCACCTTCAAAGACATGCAAACCGAGTTCATGTTTTATTTGCCATACCAGCATTTCCTTGTAACACAAGAATGCTTGCTGTACCACTTCTACCCTCACCAGCCCTCAAAGCACAGTAGGAAAAGGATAATGTATCTGCATGAAACAAAGAAATAAAATAATTATAAAAAAAAAAACCACTACAAAAAAAGCACTCCCATCTGCCTAGAATGAAGCCAGGGAATTCACTTAAAATTCCACATGCAGAAGCTCTCTGGCTCTGGCTCCCAGTAACAGGCTTTTTCACTCTCATTTTGAGATACCAAGATTTTTCATTAGAGGGCACTGTTTCCCCCAGTAGAAAATGGATTCTTTTCCTTATGTGGGCAGATACTTCAGACATCTGGAAATGCACATTTATCACGTAACTGTGAAGTCCTGAAACTAGGGTGCAGCTGGAATTCCATTTTCACATTTGCTACTTTTTCTGCTCAAAAGCACTTCAAGAATGTACGGAATTTTCAGGTCTGAATCCAAACTTTCTCAGCCTAGAAACTCAACCATTTCTGCACTGGCAGAAGGTGAACATTAACCTCAAGAATAAATGCTAATTCTATTCCCGTATCCACTTACTCCTGCTGCCCTTACCCTACAAAGTCCTGTAATGGATTTTTAATGGGGTGAGGGTAGAAGGACCTTTTCTGGAAAAAAAATGGGTTGTAAACAGTATTTGACTCTCTGCATTTACATATGCCAGGGCCACTCGTTATTAATGCTAGTAAGCAGAAAAATGACACCCTTCCTTCCAGCATATCAAGTTCATAGCATATGCTGGAAAGCCACATGCCGGTATACAGCTGTGTTTCTTCTAAAGGAGCAGATGCTCTACTTCTGTAGAAGTGTTTTAAAAGAACTGCAGTCTTTTGAGGACAATGTCAACACCCTCCATAATCATACTTACACACAAGGAAAACAGCATGTGCACTGCTGTTTCAGAGCATATACAGCATTTGTGCTAGAAAAGCTACAGTCCTTTCTGGGAAAGGCATTAGATTAATTTTCCAGAGCTTTTCACTCTCCTGGACTCAGCCACCCCACTGTCTTACACTTCTGATAAACTTCCTGCATCTTTTCCCCCAGTCCAAACAGTTTACTTCTCTTCCTCCAATATTAAAAAAACAAAAACAACCTGGGCAGGAATTTGAAGTGTCATAGCAGAAAAGAAACTTCCTCTGAGAAGAGTTAGAATACTAGTACAGTTTTAACATCCATTTTGAAGGGTGAGGGGCTGAAACAGTATGTTTACAGGCCTAAAATTTCAGCTTGGGATTTCTCTGCAAGTGTCCTGGGATTAAGCAATATTATTTCAAATAAATTACATGAGGGAATTATCTTTTGACTAACACTGGAACAGATTTAATAAAACTAAAACTGCTGATATGAGATAGGAAGAGAAATCCCATGGTACTATTACTCCAGATTGAAAACCAGACCTCTTTCTGATTCCCAGACAGCCAGGTATTTGGTTGATGTGAGTATCATTCTTGTACTCAATTCAAGGAAGCCAGACGGATATCTGGCAGCCAAGGATTTGGACAGGCAGACTATATGTAAGTATTTAGAATCCAAATTTATAAACAAAAAGATCAGATGGACTTCACTACACAGACATACTTCTAGGGAAAAGTGAGAATGCCTTTCACCCTCCAGAGCATAAGTGACCAAAGCTACAGACCTGTAAACAGCAGTATTTAACAACTTTAGGAGATGAACCATTTCATCAACAGGAATAGAGAAAGCAGAGGATCTTAGAATCCTCTTATATCTTAGAATAACTTGCATAAATTCAATAATATACACACCATTATGGTTTAATATCAACAAGACCAAATTTTTCAACCATGCTGTGCCAGCGTAAGCGCAGGGCCAGCTATGGGGCCAGGGTAAATCAGCACCAGAACCCTGTTGCCAGGCCTGAGCAGATAAGCACATAAGGAATTAATTCTAACGAATTGTCTAAGTATTTATGCTTACAATATTCAAATTAAACATATGCATGTGAGTAAGTCTGGAAGAGTACCCTGCTTTCATTCTTCATAATTCCCTTTACTTACTTTTCTTAAAGCTTTATTCTATAAACAGTAGCACTTGTGACCAGCTGGAATCTTTTCCAGTTATCAGCAGCAGAATCAAGGTTTTCTGTTTATTAAAACCAGAGAGCTTCTCAACTCTTTAATCAAAACTTTCCTTTCCACATGCCAGAAGCAACCTGCCTAACAAATTAACAGGATGTACCAATACTGACACTTTCTTGAAGAACCTTGTATTTCCTTTTACCTTTACCTTTTCTTTTAATATTGCAAAAATAATTTGTCCCATATTGCTATTATCAACTGCTGGAGCCCCCAGCAGGCCCCTTCAGAATCCCATTGTAGTATTTATAATGTTAAAAAAAGAACATGTTATCTTCCCCTAAAACATGCAAGCTAGGGCAGATGTTTTGCTACATAAAACAGTTTCTGATATCAGTGAATTATTGACATACACTTGTAGGGGAGGACGGGGGCTTAATTTCTGATGACACAAACCTGGATATAAAGATACAGCGTAAAGGAGATGAAGGAAAAGGAGCATTCTAAGTTGAGCAACATGCAATAGCTTCAAATCCCATTAATGGGTTAACTGGGTACACTGTTTCATTACTTTCTTAAATGCATTCTCATTAAATAAGTATTTCCAGATTTTTTTGAAGAACACATGCTTCCTCGGGCTTTTTGTTTCAAGATGTGCTTTATTATTTTTTATTTCTGATCTATAGCACTGATGTGCAATTAATTTGGGGAGTCAACTTTTATGAGTGTAAGTCAGTCAACTTAGTGGCACCATTCACAAGCAGAAAGCTGACCTCATGCTTCAGCACTTCAGGATCAGGACCTAAACCCCTAGTCTAACTATTTTCGCATGATCCAATTCTCCACTCAACTGAACAAGCAATCCCTTCTCCTACGTTGTTTTTCTATTTCTCCATCTCTATGCAGATCTTTTCAAATATTACTTCAGCTCTTCATGAAGTAATTAACAGAATTGATGGCATTTCAGTACTAGGTTTTCCTTATTAGGATACGCATACAAATAAAATCTGGATAGTTTAAAATAAACATTGATTTTCAAAGCTAGAGAGCTGTCTGAACACTGTGTTGTGGCTGCAAACAGACACAATAAACCAGTCCTTATACTGGGGTGAAACATAAGTCAAAGATAGAAAATGAGAGAACAGATCATTCATTCCATCTCCTGCCCAACATAACTTTGAAATAGAGGTGACACACTGGCCATAGTTCAGTAATACCTGCCATCAGCAGCACACCTCTCTTCTCCAAGGTGTTTCTCTAAGTTAGAAAACCTCAGAGTAGCAAGCCACATGTTTTCATGTCTAGTATGATTTGCACAGCCACCTTTTCCTTTTGCTGCCCTCCAAAAATTGTGCTTAGATATACCCTAGCTGCATTTGCTTGTCATTACTTTGGAACAAATATTCAAAAAGTTGCATTGCACAGGTCTCCATATGCCAGTAATAATACAGACTTAAGCTTCAAATCTGTGTTCACAAACTCCAATTTTTAAAACACAAACCATCAGTGTCTACACATTAAGTGATAAGAAACAAACCCCCAGAGCAGAAGAATTATAGGTTTATTGATATAACCCATAAATCAGTTTATATAAATGTTATTCCTTGTATTACATAACAGATGTAGATGCTTCACCACATACCAAAATGGTACAATACACACAAAATCCAAAGATTTTGCAATTAAGATGGCAAATCATGAATATACTCAAAAACGTTAAAGTTAAAAAACCCCTCAATAATACAAGCAATGAGAAAGAAAGCAGCAGCAAAACTATTCATGGTTCACAAGCAGAAAAATTCTATGGTGGAAGTAGACGATAGGCCTGAGCATACTCCTGACTCTGAAGGATACAACTGAACTGAAGCAAAAGATTAAAAAAAGACCCAATATCAGATTCCAAATACATTATCAACAGGAACCTGCCTGAGGAAAGAGGAAGTTATCTCTTCCTCATAAAAGAACCCAAAGCCCTCAAATCCCCCTAACTTCCCTTAAATGATTATTAATCAATCATCAGTTCAATTGACCGGCAGCAGAGTAAAGAGGGGGTAACAGACAGAAAAAACCCAGCAGAAATATTATACTACCTTATCTTAAATTGAGCATTATTGACCAACATCTGCTCCTGATGCCATGTACAGCACCACAGGTTAGAAAGGAACCAGATTTTTGTCTTAGAATGAACTTACTGCTGCTTTGCTCTTTTTCCTCCAGGTGTGCACCTGTTTTGCTTTTACCCTCTGCAACTCTGGACTAGCCAGCATCACATGGCTGCTATTCACCTATAGGAGATTTCCCTATATTCCTTCTATTTTTTTATATCTTTGTTATTTCATAGTTGGTGTTTTACAAAATCTCCAAAGCATTCTAAATCTAAATGTGCAGTCTGTCCCAGATAGCAGATAGTGTCTGAACCAAGCCTGTTGATATAAAGAAGGACCAGGCATTAATTTCACTATCAAAATAATGAGATGTGACCACAAAAGTAACATACACACATGGTTGCTTACAGCACGGTGACCTCAGAAAGAGCACCAGTGCAGGCAGAAGTCATCTAAACTCCTCCATGGAGGATCTACATCCAAAGTCCAAATTTCACAAGGCTACAGTCTGGCTCCACACTCAGCAAGCAGAAGGGAAAATACATGATAAAAATCTACAAGGGAAAAACAAGTGGGGGCAATAGGTTTGATACAGAAGGTTCTTACAGGAAGAGAAAATAAATATGATGTTGGGAAATTAGGGAGGACAATGGAAGACAAGGATGTCAAAAAAGGGCTGAGGGAGAGACACAACATTTTTGAAGTTACTCAAGTTGGGGAACACAGATGACAGGAAGGGCCCTGGTAACAGTTAAAACCAAAGATCTCTGAAGTTTGCATCACTATAAATAATAACTATTTCCTTTAGCTTTTTCAGAGGGAGATACACTTAGGATGGAGAGGGGGAAAGGGCACATTACTTCCTTTCAAAGGTTAAAGTGGAGCTGCCAAAATCTCTCAGACAAGAGAGCAACACTAGTAGTAGTTATTTCATGAAAATGCAGTTAAAATTGAATCAGAATGGATTCAATGTTGAACAATTTTAATGAAGCAAGTGTCAAACAAGCACATCAACTTCTTAAAAACAAAGGAACTCCAAAGTTTAATTACAAAAACATTGTACAGAAAACTTGGCATCTCAACAATTCCAAATACATTAATCCAGCAAACGGATTCTGTTTTCATATATTTCTCTTAACATTTCTTTAAGTGACAACAGCATTTTATCCCACTCATCTCCTTGACACCCACTTCGGTTTTTACTTTTTTTTTTGATCAGCCAACACTGAAAAATGTAAACCGAAGTGACACTCAGAAAACACTGGAAAGACAAAATCCATTTTTATAGGGTTAATCAATGTAAATAAGAAGCTTCTTAATGAGACAAAACATCATCTGTCACATCACTGGTGAGCAAGAAGATAGCCTTCCCCCAGATGCTTTAAGATGGGCATACCACTCCCCCTCCTTTCTTCTGGGAAAATGCAAGAGATTTGTCAGCCCCCAACTAATAATATCACCTTAAATTTCCTATCCCGTAACACTTGCATGCTACTCAACAGAATGATGTATTAGCAGTATGCCACGAGCTGATAGCTGCATTGAATTTATGTAAGCAGGGGCAGCCTGCAGCCACCCATACCTTATTTACAGTATGTGTATGTCACTGCCTGGAACTGCATCCTACTATCACATTACATAGCAATTTCTGGAGTCTTTATGGGATATCACTCCATGTATTAGGTAAGATGCCACACACTGAACTTTAGAATTTTGTAAATCAACTTTTGGCGATACAGTGCATTTTGGCCACTTCAGTGAAAGTCAAATATCACCAATTCTAAAAAAACAAGGTGCACACAGGAGATGAGGGTATCAGTGCTTCTTCTGGAGACATTATTAACCTGTAGGATTCCCCCCCCCCCCATATTTGTTATAGCATCCACTAGAAAAGTTCATGCCAACATCAGCTGGTCTCATCCATGCTAAGGAAAATGGAGGTCAATGCAGCAAATTGAAGTTCCTTTTTGTAAAGTCTTGAAAATGAGACTGAAGACAAGAGAAAGGAGTTTCCTCCCTGAAGGAAGACTTGAATTTACATGGAAATCCTTGCTGCTTGGCTACAGCAATAAGCCCATGAGTAAGCAGAGACCTGACATACAAGGTGTTGACCTGGAGATGGCTTCAGGCAAGCAATGAAGTCCATGTGTATAGCGTGGGAAAAGAAGAAACTGCTTTTTAATCTTCAAATACTTGCATTACAGATACACTAAAGGGATGCTGACTGCAATGCACTCCAGTAACCTCCGATTCATAACAGGGAAATCTTAAAAGATTTCTGAAGATGGAGCAAGGAGATTGTCATGTGGAAGAAAGAGCATTTCAACCACTACCATAAAGCCCAGAGATGTCCAACAAGTACTCAACCAAAGTCTGAATTAACAATTTGACAGGAACCAGAGGGCAGCAAATGATTTGCATTAAGTTAGTGCAGACAGTAGGTGCCTTCATCTTTGACAGGAGGTGCAGCGCAGCTCAGCAAGATTGCAGACTCAAGCATGCAGAGTTCTGCTTGATATAAGTGAAAGGCCATTTAGGTCACACTGGAACATAATACTCTGAATGCTATAGGCTCCACAGGCTGTACTTTTAACTGTACAAAAGGTGAAAGCACTTACCGACTGTAATGTAGAATTCTGTGGGCTGCTATGTGGACCTAGCTGCTAATAACCTTCTCTGCTCTAATAAATTCATGCAAAAATACATGTGCTGCTTCCAGGCATATTGCTTCCCAGCACTGTGATTTCAGGAGAGCAGAAAAAATGCAATCCCCCTGCCCATTTCTCTTTTTATAGAATACCACTCTCACCATGAGATCATTCTCTCAAAACCAAGGCAGTAACATTAAATTAGACTGAGCAACATATCAGAGGAAGGGCAAGCTTTGTGGTTTTAGTCTAAAATGGAGATTCCTATTTTCCCTGCTGAGTAGAACTAACATTTCACTTTCTGTCTTGATTATCACTGACCTTTGTGGTAGTAAAATGCTCCACCAAACGTTTTCAAGAGATAACAGGAGACCTTCACAGAAGAACAGGATGCTATGTGCAAGACAGGTGCTTCAAGAGAGGAGGGGGACAGAGGAAGTCTGTCTCATAGTAGAATCAAGTCACAAAGCATCAGCCACAGCCAGTCTCTATCAGGGAGCAAACTCACATTGCAGAAGTTGCCGGCTAACATAAAAAAACAGGATTCTGCTTAAGAAAAGCTTATATAAACACAGCAGGCAGGGTAGGACAAGACAGTGCACCAAGGAAGACTGCCTGTTGTAGCAGAGAACACAAGCGCTGCTATCCAGTAACGCAAGTATCAGATAACAAGATCAAAAGAAGAAAGCTAAAATGGAGGAAGGTAATCCCAACAAGATAAACATGAAAACAAAATAAAAGAGACACTAGAAGACATTAGGCAATATAAGACATTAAAGTTATTACTACAACACATAGGCTGACTTCATTTCACGAACTGCGAGATTTCATCTCCATAGTCAGCCAGTCCACAGAACATATGCACCCTCACACCCAGCAAAATTATTAAGAAACTGAAGATTGCACAAAAGTTGCATGCTTTTAAATGTTTACACAGAGGACAGTTCCAATTGTTTAGTGGGTGGCATCCGTGGCTTCTTAAGACCTTTTAATGCATTGATCTGTTTGTCTTGCTGACAAACCACAAAGGCAGGGACCAGGACAAACCTGCAATTCTGCCTCCCACCCCTAGTCTTTCCCTCATGGCTTCTTATTCCACACTGGCCAAAAAAATTTTGTAAAGCATCCCTGGGTCACGAGACCTGCAGACGAAACAGAAAAATAAGTGTTAGAAGACTACAATCTGCTAGGACTAAACAGGCACTGTGACATTATTTTTTGGATGATTTATCTGAAAACACAATATTAAGAAGTATAGCAAAGAAGCCTGCAGAGACAGAACTGTAACTGAATTCATGTTGCCACCCAAAGAACAGAGTGCTAAATAACAAAAAACTTCCTCTTCTCCCCCATATACTGTTTGCACAAAGAAGTTCTCTTTACCATGCAGTACAGAAAACCAAAAACATTCACTAGTGTAGTCAAATAGTCACCAAATACAGTGTACTAAGCCACCAGAAAACACCTCAGTTCTGTGAAGTACAGTGGTTTCCAAGAGTATTATAACAAATAGATTTTTCTATGAAATTGATCTGTAATGTGTCTCAACCTCAAACAGACTATTTGGTTGATAGAGATTAGATTTAGGAGAATGAATATATTTCATATGCATGTTAATAAAGGGACAATGATAATGACAGTTTATCAGATGCCAGCTGAACCCTTCTATCCAAAGCTTCCCTCTTTTCTAGGGAAGCTCTGCTTTTTTCTACATTTGCATCCAATAAAGCCCAACCTTCTCCCTCTAAGATTTTGTCACAAAATATAATCACTGCCAAGTGAACGTCAGTGTAATTAATAACCCTATGAATTATTTTATCATTATATGCAGTTACATGCATGTCTCTATAATGAAACTAGGTGATTATTAATCACATTTTTAATTGCTTCACACTGTTTAGCTGCTGAAAAGATGGAAGGTATTGATGGCAGGGGAAAGAAGGGAACAGAGTCCTATTTTTCAACTATAAAGTGCAAGTAAGAACTCTAAAGCAAAACTTATTTTTTCCAAATGAATTACAGCTAAATCCAGTTTATCCAAGAAAAAGATATTTGCATTTTTAGGAACACAAAAATTGTTCATCATTTAGGAAATACGAATCCGCCTGACGTAAGAACCAAAGTCTAGATTTCAGTAGCCTTGAGATATGATTTTTCTGGCAAGGTGCTTAAAGGACAAACATCTGTTTCAGGGCCTGGCACACCCTTCTAATAACTGATTGATGAGAAACTGCTTTCCCTCTTATACATTCTGTAAAGCCTCCCCATCCCCTGATTCTCTTTCTGAGCTTGAACACTAATTGAAAACAGTATATGAAAATGAGGAGGTTGATGAGCTACTGAAAAATCCCAGACCTGGATCGACAAGCTGTTCCCTTCATAAATAGCAGCAGTAAAGGCACTTCTTTATTCCGCTGGGAGCTCAGTCATCTCTTAGAACTATAGTCCGTTCCATCTGGCTACCCTCTGGAAGGACAATGATCTTTTAGCTTAAGCCACACTGTAATGGGGAACGTGTAATTAACTGTTCTACACAGTATCACAAAAGGTCAGAATCAGAAAGGACAAAAAGCCCTGTCTTCGTATTTGCAGATGGCACAAGCAGCTTTATTTGCATTTCTAAACACTATTCAAGGCATGTACAGTAGATCTCTACATAATAAACGCCTAAAGAATACAGGTATGTACATAGTTAAAATAGGAGTAGGCTAACTCCTAATGGCTGTCTAGTGCTATGCATCATGGGGGATGTGGGGGAGTAAATGGTGTGGGAAATGCAAGGCAGCACAGTAATGCAGAAAAACTGTTATTTCTTTGTTAATCTGTTCTTCTACTCAGTTCCCTATTATAGTTTTCCAAGCTGTTAAACAGAAGCAAAAATACAGAATCATGAGCTCAGTAATTATCTATGCATAAGCCACATGATCATTAGTATCAGCAAATGCTACATGTAAGCCTGAACCACACACCAGTGCTTCATTTACACATAAACCTTCATAACCAGAAGGTGCTACAGAGCAGGCAGTTGTAGGGTATTTTCAGTCTATGACAGGGTTGAGTTCACCTGTAACCCCTTGAGACAAACAAAATTTCTCTGTGACCATCAGATTCTACAACGAATACAGAATTTTTCAAATTTACTTCACTCAAGAAAGGAACCTTCTTCTAAATTAGTCACCCTGTTCTAAAAAATAAAGATTTTTTTTTTTTTTTTTTTTTACACCATTCTGTCAGTATTCTTATTCACCTTGCACAAATACAATGAATACTAGACCAAACAGCTATTTATGTCTTTATGCAAAAGAACTTGGAGCTAAGGGGAATTTCAGAACCCTTTAATGCTGCTGGATATTTTCAACTCCATTTGACTTTCATTAAGTCAACCTGCTCCTGTGGCTTTGAGGAAGAAAACTTTTTGGTTTACAATATGGTGATCAGCACAAGAATCAGTGTCAGAACAAGTGCCAGAGGTACAGAGTTGATGCAGCCTAAGAGCAAGCACTTACCCAGTCACTAGCGTTCAAGTCTGTTTACCACATCTCGGACTGTGGCTATGAGGTTCTCATTCTCCTGTGGGTTAGCCATAATAATACTGTGCAGCCTATTCATGTACGAATCTATAGTTTCCATCGTGGGTGTTTCCCCGCTACCTATAGTTAACATAGTAAAATGAGCCACAGAATATTTAGATGGACACAGCAACTCCAAAAAGTTAAGACTATGCTAAGGGCAATTTGTGCCAACATGCAAACTGCTACAGGTGATTTTGCCATGCACATCTTGTGACAAGTTCTGTAAAACAATGTCCTAACTCCACGAAGTGAGTAGTTCCAAGGATATCAGGACTAATGAAGCATGGTTTTTCTTTGATTTTGGTCTCATAGTTGATTATAATAAATTCTTTCAGCTGGGCATTCATACTATCTAAAGTGGATTCCCTGGCATCTGACAATACAGACACAGCCTTTCTTTTAACTAAGGAACTTGAGGTCCTATCTTTTCTGTTTAGTAACATTTTCACAAAACAAGTGAAGGAGAGCAAAGACTGAGTGTGTATCTCACTTTATTAGGAAGAGTAAAAGTAGTAAAAAAAAAAAAAAAAAAAAAAAAAAGCCATGTTGAAACAAAGCACTGACACTAAACCTTCCCCTGCATGCATTTCAAGATTTCGTTATCTAATACAACAAAAGCTCAGAAACAGACAAGACCATAGAACTACAACAGCAGGCCATGTGTTGTAAATTCATAACTTTGTATACACATTAGAAGTTAAATTTAACATGTCAGACAGACATAAGTTTAAAAAAAAAAAGTCTTACCCGGTAACGGGACTCCAGCAAAGCTGGTTGTGAGTGCCTGGCGTAAGGTCTCTAGATGCTGTTGCAGCACTGTGTTGCGGCTCCGCTCTTGTATCACGTCTACCTCCAATTTCTCCACTGCAGTACGCATACTCTCAACATGTTTCTGCAGAGCAGCATTCCTCTCCTCAAACTCCATGTTGGATTTACGCAGCTGCCGCAGCTCAGCTTCACGTGCTGTGAATATCAACCCATTCCCATGTAGTCAAAAAACCAATAAAAGACCCTATCTATGATTGGTAGGCAATGAAGCAGAATGTTCCAGAGTGCTCAACTGATGACTACAAATGGTGCAGTTTTGGTTTATATATGAAAAACAATCATATCATGAAGTGTCGATAGTGCCTATAGTAGTACATAAATAGACTTAATTTCTAGAGAGATAGGCAAATTAGAAGACATTCAAAGCATCAGAATGCAAGTGAATAGGGGAATTGATTAGGAAGGAAGACTGTAAGACTGATTTCAGTGCATTCAGTATGACATAGCAGCAGTGGTAGGAGGCCTACAGACAAGTTACTGGTTACAAAAATACATTTCTACTGATCATCAGGAAGAGTATCTGAACCTGAAGTCTGTTCAGTCAAGAAAGACTCCAGGAAATCAGGCAAAAAAATCCTAAACTCTTGGGACATGCAGCTACAAAAAAATCCGAGTAACAGAAAATATATCAGTGGAATCTTCCACATATCTGCAGGGAGGAGGAATACTGCTAACTAGCCTGAACCATCATCATGGTATATCTTAGGTATTTCTTAATCCTCTAGAACAGCAGATCCAGATTGGACTGGCTGGAATAACAGCAAGTGGAGCTTAAACATCAGAAACATTCTCCAAAAAGGATAGTTTTGGAAGACAAAGACAGGAAAAACCGCTGTTGCAGCCACTGTGTTTGTACAGAGGTAAGGTAATATCAGAAACACTGATCAACTATACCGAAGTCATTACTTGAGCTGAGATGGAAGAGTGCAAGGGCTCTTCAGCTCGATAGCACCTGGCAAAAACTTTGCAAAAGCAAGGAGGGTGCCCTGCAAAAGTTTAACTTACCTTTACTGTGATTCAAGAACTCTTCTGTGAAGATTGGGATATCAAAAACAGATCTCTCCTTTGTATCTGCTTCTTTCTATAAAAGAAGGAATAATACTGTTTGTTTTCAGGAATTCATGAAATTGTTTTGATCAAGAAAATAGAAAGAGAAGGGAGACCTAAGAGCTGCATGGATGGCAGACACTTCTAGCTCCTACCAAGAAAGGCCTACGGGTAGGTCTCAGCTTTATAAGATACAGGCTTAATAAAGGCCAAATACCATTATCAGGAAATAACACATAACATACTAAAATATACCCTTTTGCCCTAATGATATTACACATCAGAATCATTCAGGTTTAAAACTATCTGAATTCATTTATATTTTCCACTGGAAAGCATTCCACCATCAACCAACTGACACATTCTGAAATAGTCTATACAGGAATATCAACAAACAGAAGATAAAGCGAGCAAAATGCACAGTAAGCTTCATGGTTCTTTGTCTTTCACTACCAAAGCAAAAAAGAAAACAGCCAGCAAAAAGAACAACTAAAGGAAAAATAAGCAACTTTGCCACAGTGTACCAATTCCACGTGTCTGTTCCAAAGTGGAAGGGATGTGCATTTTGAGCTCCAAAAAAGATGGGAGCCACACAGTGCTTCAAGCAAGCTGCAGTTTTTGAAACATTTAGATGGATGCCTCCACTATTGAAAAGAAAGCATATAAACATGACATGCAAGAGTCTACAGGGAAAACCTAATTACGTATTCTGTAAGATCTTTGAAGGATAAAGGTATAGGTATATTTTGCTGTTAGAAAGCAGTCGTTCACCCTGGTTATGGCAGGTATGCGTTAACGCAAGGGCATCAAGGAACTGACTGCTGTCTCCTGCAAAACCAAACACTGGAGATTTTTTTCACTTTAAGACACAAGAGAAGTTTGACACCTTAAGACAAAGCCTGTAGTCAAGGGTTTCATGTCAACTTTCAGATCTCTTCACCTAATTTCTGATAAAGTTGGTGAACTCAACTATGTGAACTTGAGGCTATTAAAAAAACCCAGAGAATTTCAGGTGCAGAAGATCTGACACCAATTTATACTTTATGACAATAATATGCTTTCTTTATAAAAAAAATTAAAATCAGGAAATGTTCTATAACTTAGTCAAAAAACCTAAAAAACTTAATTTCACTCAAGGAAAAAAAAAACCTACTGTAATATATTTCAGTCACCATTTCTGCATGTCAAAATCAATGGGAGTTAATGCTTGCTTTAAAGCCTGCATTGCTATTGACAAAGCCAATGCAAATTTGGTTTGATAAAATGCAGCAACTACAACCAACCTGTTACTTAATATAGAAACAAAATTAAGCATGAGAGAACATCTGTGGAGAACAAAAGCTTTTCAAACTTCTCAAACACCATGGCTGATAATGTACCAGGAACTCATCCTCCAAAATTATGTAGTGTCAAACATGATTTAGTGCCCAGCAGAAAACCTAAATGTTTAACAGCTGATAAGGAAATTCTGGCACCTGAGCTCAGAATATCATACTGGTGTCTGCCACATAAAGGGGTTAGATGGGGTGAGCTGAATGCCATTTGGCAGTCAACTAAGACAGACAAGACTAGATGGAACTTCAGATATACTGTCTTTACCTGAGGGGACTGTCGATTGATTTGTTTTTAAAGCAAAGGATAAGCTGAGCTTTATTGTCTGGTAGAATTACAGCTGGGAAGCTCTATATTTGCTGAGTAAGCACTCAAAGCTCCCTTGGCTGGAATCAACTGAAGATGCAATAAAAACAGGCAGGACTAGAGGGAGGGGGAACAAACCTTCCCATCTCTGAGAGACACAGTAGGGTGTTTTGCTAATTGCTATTATAGGAAAAAGTCTCAAGAGTATGTACTTAAAAATGAGAAGCCATGTACAGAAGCATACATAATGCAGTCATTTTGTCTGAATGCTCCCTAGATGGCTAGGAAATAATTTCACCCCAAAAATCTAGGATCTCAACATTGATGTGCACTAAGGAATGTTGGCAGTTATGAAGCTTAGTTAACACACTTACAGAACAGCAATCTTAGATGTTCTACTTCACGCTTGCTATTGCTAACTGCATGCAAAGATGCACTGGCTTGGATCATTGCTGGCTCCTAGAGAATAGATGGCGGAGCAGAGGGTACTGTGAAGAGGAGAGGGTATTCTATTTGCAGCCCTAGGATACAGGTTCTTCAGGTAAAACAAAAAAAAACCTAATGGGATTAGATGAAACTGTTCACCTTCTGAAAGGCAACCAAGAAATCCTACTAAACAGAAGAGTGATTGTGAAAACTATCAGCGCTCTTCCATTACAGAATACATTGCTTTGCACATAGAAGATTGTCTTGAGAACTCTGAAGTACTTAAGCCACTCTGAAGTTCACTCAGGTTTAAAATCGTAAGGTTTTGATTACCTTCTACTGAAAAGGCCCAGTCTGTTCAGGGTATGTATCATTTTGTCATCCCTCAAATCAAAAGAGAGCTAAACTTACTGTTTCTATAATTTGCCTTAAATAAGATTGAGATGCTTCCAGAGTGTCAACAAATAATACCATTCTCATCTGGTTATTAAAACTGAGGTTGATCTTTGGAGGTTCCAGAACAAAACAGACTTGAAGTTCTTAGAGACATGGTGAAGTATGGTAAAGAGAAAGCTGAGATTTTGGGGGGGTTTAAGCTCGTCCATGCTTGTATGGTCAGGTGCAAACAATGTAAGGAACAGATATAAGAAATAAAAATTTCATAAATATTCTTCATAAAAAAGACATATTCTCAGAGGAGATAGTTTTCTTCTTGTGTGCTTACACTATGGCAGCCATTTCCCTATCTTCAAAGGTTGTAGATACTACCAGGCAATGCCTAATTTCCCTGATGTGTGCATAAATCTTTGAAATCTTGCCAGTAAGATGTTGTGTAACTGCCTGCATGAAGCTAGACCTACTCTGAAATCAAACAGCTTGAGGGAAGAAGCAATAACAGAACAATGGAGAACAATTAACAATGGTTTGGTCACTGTTGATGACAATTAATAGTTCTAGTGTATATTGCTATAAGTCATATTTATGAAACTTGGATTTGGAAGAAAAATGTTCTCTTTCATGCCCACAGATGAGCTCATTGAGACAGTGTCTCCATGTTTTTCATGGCTATATCTGCTTATTAGAAGTTTCTTCTACCTTCCCAAGCCTCATCCTTTTGTTATTTTTTTAATTATAATTAGTATCTTAACTGTTCATTGCAATACTTTTTGGAGGTCATCTTTATATAAAGTATTTAAAATTAGTTCAACACCAATTCACAGAAACGAAATCACGAACACTTAAATGGAACGAGGGGAGAAGGAAAGGTTTCTTTGATCTCCTGTTCTTATAGTCTCTCAAGAAGTAATTCAATCATACCTACTAATCACAAACACAATAATAGTCAATGTGGATAAAAGAAAGCAGCAAGACAACAAAAAGCTTTAGTCTTGCTTCCAGTAACAATTCGAGTACATACTTCTAAAAGCAACCTAAAGCTTTTCTTCTTGTTCCTTGCCTGTGCAGGATTATAATACTTGACTCTGTTGCAGAAAAGATGTGACAGTATTTCAGGTGATAAGCATGTGGAATTTTATAATATGAAGGTGAAAAATGCAGTGCAAAGGTGCAGGCTTTCAGAAGATGCCTGCCTAACATGTTGCTAGCTCAACTACGCAATAACTACCTGATGAAGCTTAAAAGCTCCACAAGGTATGGAGGACTCCTTTTTAACTGCATCTATGACATGAGATCTCAGCAACAACAGTTTGAGTTAGAAGGAAGAGAAGTAAGACTGAATTTGTAGTTTGCCACCTGTATAATTAAAAGGTTATTTAAAGGTTATGTAAACATCACAGTCAATCTAGAACTTGAAGCCTTCAGTAATCTGTTTTTGTACAATTAAAGACACTTAGATTCAGTGACTACAGAATCAGAAATCCTGGGGAGCATGTACTTCTAAAGATTAATCTTACTGCAAGTACTTCCTTTAAGAGTTAATAAAAAGTTATATCGAAAACATGTTACCAAAGCATTTTCCTGGAATTGAAACTTACTTTCCTTAAAGTAGACAAGAACAGTAGTTGCCTCTCAGCAGCGCATAGCCTTGTCACTATTGTAACGAACACATTAAAAAGCAACTTGATTGCTTTCCCAAGGCAAAAAACCTCACAAAGAAAAACAGATCTTTCAGAAAGGCCTACTGCTTACAAGTGAAGAGGCTGTATATAAACAAGATTTTTCATTGCTTTCTGTTTGCAATTTATTGGTAACCATGAAAGAAGCTCTGTGGCCCTAGGTAATACAACTGGAGAAAGTTTCAGCACTTCAGGGGGAGAGATACCATAGTCAGCTGGGATGCACAAGATTTGTGATATGTCTCATCAACTAAAGCACAGGCATCTCATCTCCAGACATTATTACTCTTTTCCAATGTTTACATATGCAAGGGCAGGGTGGCCAGGAGGAGGTTTAAGCCAAGAGATCTCCCAATGATTTGGTTATACTTGACCCGTTTTCTTCTCAAGGAAGCTACAAGCATTAGTGTTGCTCCAGAAAATCAGTACCTCAAAAGCATAACCTAAAGGTGCTGACTTGGAAGGTTTATTTAGGTCTCAAGCCATTTGTAAGTTTTACCTTGATGTTTACTTACCAAATAATAATTAAATTTCTCTGATTTGAAAAATTTCAAAGTAAAAATTTTGCAAGTTGAACCTCTAACACATCAGATACTTAAAGGCTCAATTATACTGACCTGCACCCATTGATTTATTTAACATTACAAAACATATTGTGTTTTAAGTATACGCTACACTCCCACTCTATCTTAGATCATTTGTACCTGCCTGAGATTTACTAAATTTAGTTTTCATCATAACTGAGTGCTCTCATGCTCGCATTAGTGTTTCTAACTTTTGATCAAAAATTGCACAGGAAGAGGAAGAATTCATACTCTAAACCTTTAACTCTGGTCTTCAACCGCGATAAATTGGTTTTTATTGACTTTTCTAGAAATTTTCTTCGTCTGAAAATCTACCCACTGATGCAAGGGTAGAATGAAAAGGCTTACCTCATGATCATGGGCTGGCTGTCTTGCTCCATCTGAAAAAGAAAAAAAAAAAACACACCCAAGAAATCCCCCAAAATACAAAAGATTTGAGAAAACGAGCCAAAGAATTAAAGCAGGTACACAACCATAATTACACACCAGTTATAGACAGAAAACTTGTGCAGCTTTCCTAGTAAATCACACAGAAGCTGTGTTTAACTTTGATGCTCTTAATGCACATCCCCCAATACAATCTAGATACAGTTAAATTTACATAAATCCAATCACTTTACACACAGCTGATGCAAATGCTGTAGAAAAAACACATTCACTTTTTAGCAAGCCTTTAAATCAAAGGCTGTAAATGAGTGTCAGGCTACACGACTAGCTGGGAATCTTCTGTTGTTCTAGCTAGGCACATATTTTTATCCCATTCAATACCTTGTCTGTGTGATTTGCCTTTTTGTCTGTCCTGTGCTTTCCTGCTAAAGACTTTGTAGGCTTCTGTCTTCTGATACTGCTCCAGCTCCCGCATATACCGCTCCTTATCTCTATCTGCTTCATCAAGGTATCGCTGAAACAAAAAAGTCCAAGAGTTTCAGGGAGTTTCCTCCCCTTCAGGAGGAAGGGAAGAAAAACAACTTGTCAGATGAAGTGCTGATCCATTTCACCTATGCAAACAGGAAAGGAGTGAAGAAACAATGAGAATGTATGTGAGATGCAAAGACATAAGATTCCTGGATAAAATTACTGTATTCTGGTGTCCCCTTCTCTTTTTTTTTTTTAATTCAATCACTATTCTGTTAACTCTTTTTTTATTAGACCCAGAAGTAACCTGCTACTAAGCTACTCAACTCAACTGAATATTACCTACACATTATAGACCAAATACTTAAGATACTTGCCTTTCTGTGGCCAGGATTAAGCCACCAAACAAGGCGGCCTTAACAGATCATGCTTTAAGGTTCAGATCTGTAACAGCAGGGTTCCAATACACTCTTGTGTTTTTCATGCCCCGCAGGCAAAAAGCACTAACCATTCCAGAACCACACACTTTGCCCATCTGAGAGGTGAACAAAATGTCATGGCTATTGCAAAAGAGTAGCATAAAGATAAAAGAGCCTAGGTTATATAAATTTAATTCTATCTACGTTTAGGTTAAAAGAATTTTTTTTTCCTAGCCTGAGGATATTTCACCCATCTGCATAACAGAATGAGCTTAACTGGAGAATTCTTTACGGAAACTGATGAACTGAAAACCATTTAAGGAGTGGTCACAACACTTACTAATGGTATTCTTTCAAAAAAAAAAAAAAAAAAAAAAAAGAGTTGCCTTCCCAATTTTTTCCCCAATGAGTTTAAAATTCAATGGAAGTAAGTGTTAAATCAGAGTGAAATTTAGTCACCTGGTATGCCTTTTATTTTCGGTAAGTCATTACAACAATACACATAACTTATAAATTCCATGCATTTGCAACATGGTTTTGACCCTGCTGAGGACACTGTTAACATTCTGGATTGGGGTGCAAATTTGGTGATGCTGGGTTTGCATTGCTTTTGGACATTGTATTCTTCCACAAGACAGGAATTCTTCTTTTCCATCTCCAGAAATGTGCTGCTGAAAGAGTGCAGTAAGTGAGTTAAAAACAAGGCAAGTTTTTCCTCCTTAACTTGTGTTTTGGATGGATTGTTCTGAATCAATGAGTTCTGCTGCACTACCTGTAAGTAGACATCCTAGGTTTTCTAGTGCTGTTCTGTACATCTTATTAAGATATTTCCTTATACAGGGGAATAACAAGAAGAATGATTATTAGGGTGTTTGCTTTATGACTATAGTAATGGTCTTTTTCTGTGGGAGACTCACTATTTGGTCAGTCCAGTTAGCTCAACTGACCTGCCCTTATGCTTGCCAAACACAAAGGAAAGTAGCAAGACTACAGGGCTGGAACAGTGGAAATGCGAGACTTTCCCTTCAACTTTCGTATCAGGCAGCTAGTTCACTAAATGCTGGAGATCAGCCATAAGAGCAGAATGTCAGCCGTGCTTTTCCCCTGGATTATGGGACACTAACCTACACAGCAGTAATATACTGTGACTCCACTGCTTGCTTCAGGAGAAAGAAGTCATAGTTGTTAGCTAACCAAACCCAAGCTTACTCAGCTTCAACAACAATTTGGGGCTGGCGTACCAGAGACATGGTTTCTGAAGCAGCAGTGGCCTTCCCCACCTTAATAAAAAAGGTCAGGAGAAACTGAAGGGAAGGAAGTGCTCAGCAGTCTTTCCCTGACCTGCCACAGGTTAGAGACTCACAGCTTTATTCAAAAAAGGACAGAATCCCTGGGAATTTAAAAAGCAACACATAGAATAGAGATTTGAGCTCAATCTCCTTTTTTCTAGGTTAAAAATTTGTCTCAGGCATGTTAAGAATACGTTAAGGGCACTGGGTAGAGGGGCACAATGTCTTATTCTCTTTCCTCCCTCTCTCAGCAGACTGTAACACCATTCTCACCACAGATGTGTTACCAAATCAACTGTTTTGCCTTGACAGATATGTTCCATTGTGGTTAAAATGCTATGCCTATGTGCCATTTTATAATATCTCTGCATAACTTGTATTCTACAAACTTAGCAAAAAGCATCAGAAGGAACTCTTGTTTTTTGCATCATCCCATTTTTCATCCAGCCATCATAAAAACTTAAGTAAAGTATTTCTGAAAGCTTAAATGTCCTGATAAATTCATGTGATAGCATCAAGTTGCACCGTGATTTAACTACTGCTTTGCTGTAATTTCCATCTGGCAATCAGGTGCGGATGGTAAGACACCCATTGGCAATAACAAGGTCCACTCCAGAAGGCTCTTTAAAGAACCAGACCCAACATTGTCCTGATCTTCATTCACATATCAGACAGTGCAGAAGGCCACTTCCCAATTAGAAGACATCACATTCTGACTGAAACATGGAAGAAAAAAAAACCCCTTTTCCTGAGGTAATGTGTGTAGAAACTAGAATACGTAACTCTCACTGTCTCGTCCATCATACAGATCTCAACTTTCTTTTCAGGGCTAGCAATACTTCAAATCATTGTCTAAAAGTTTATTCATGTTAACTGTCTCCTTCAGTAACCTGTCCTTTCAGGTCTGCTTGTCTTACTCTATGACACCAAACGTTTATATACATTGATGAGTTAGTAAAATAAACAGAACTGCAAAATCCTTCAAGCAGCTCTGAAATCCCACCGAGTTCTCATCAGACACAGTGAATAAAAGCCTGCCCCATCCTTCCAGCGGCTTTGGCCTTGGAAACTGGTAGGTGTCAGCTATATCTGAGTTAGCTACAACAAAGTTACACCCAGATGAATCGCATAAACTGTGGGATGTCTCACTAGAGCAATCCCCACCCCGTTCTGAATATATCCTTGCACTATTTAGAGAATACAGTTCTCCTCAGGTCACACCTGGGTGAGATGCTACAAGCCCTACAAGGGTTCATTATTTCAGCTCTGGAGGACCTGTGCCCCTTATTTTGAAATATATTCCTAAACATAACTTTAATCAAAAACCTGTTAACTTCCTCACTATACAACAATATCCCCATTTAACAGTAATCATAATCCAACAAGGAAAAGGGAGTTTAATGGTACCCGTTTCTCCTCAGGAGGCAGTTTACTCCATTCATTGCCCAGCATCCTGGTGATCTCTGGGAAAGGGACTTCAGGCCTCTTCGCTCGAAGCTGCTCCCTACGCTCATTCATGAATCGCACATACCCTGTGAGGGGGGATTTGGGGGCATTGGTGTCCCTAAGGGGTTTCTTCCTCTTTCTCCCTTTGGCCCAGCCTCCTCGTTTAGTTCTTTGCTGCTGCAAAATGAAAATGGAAGAAAAATTCAGATTGAAGGAAAAAAATTACAACCTCTGGAAGGAACAAATATTCACGTCTCAAACATTTTCATCAGGAGCATGTTGCTGCAATACATCCTCTCCATGGATGTAAGTTTCAAACCTTACTTTACAGCAATCCTGACTTTTCTCTAAGCAAAGCCAAAGAAGTCTCATTGTGAAAAGTTGTTTGCAGTATCTCCTGGTCCACAGGGACAATAAAATAACATTTGCATCAACTTCTGATTGTAAAACCATGAGGACTAACAACCCATGAAATTATCATCCTAGCTCATGCAGCTGCATATGTGGTTTTTTTTGGTTAGTTGTTTGTTTAAATTATTCTCACCCTAACGTACCGTCTCCCCCAGTCACTTGCCTCTATCATGTTTGGAGAATTTTTGTGTATTAATTAACAATTGTTAACTAGTTATTTTGCCCCTTCCAAATATTTTGCCTTCATGCATTATGTGCCCAAAATGTGTGTGAAAGGCCAGAATATAGGCTTTTCTATTCTAATCTATTTTATAGGCTTTCTCTCCAACTAATCGCCTCCAACAGAGATGAACAAACTCCAAAGGAGGGAACACATTAAGATTTGCCTGTGGCAACTGTGAGCTCACAGGCATAACATAATTATCACTCATCCTCTTGGCTTCATACTACTACTACAGCAATCTCTGGACAATGCTATTTTCTTATGCTATATACAGACAACTGTTTGGGTATTTCTAATCTCTCCCCAGATCAACATGTTCCTGCCAGTTCTAGTTTGCTTTCTGGAATTTTACTACTTCCTTAATTAAACTAGGACCTCACAGCTGAAGATAAACTACAAGGAGGAATAACAAATGTATCTATCAAAAAACCCCAAACCACTTTTTTGTCAAACTTCAGTTCCTTTATGATTTAGTCACCAAAAATCAGTGCGAGATGGTACACAAGGTAGCCTAACGTAGTAAACATAACACTTTCAAAGACATCAGTTACTCCCAGAAGAGTACAACAGTCTCACTTTCCTGCCTGACAAGGGATAAAATAAGTTGTGGCAGTTGAACATTCAGTCTTCAGCAGAAGACTGAATGCAGTATCAGACTGTGGACCCTGCTGGCTAAGCTGGAGACACACATACTGTTCTCTGAACATTATGACTGCCAGGTTTCCTTGGCTATCTGTGTTAAGCTGTGCATCACAGGAGAAAACCAGAGAGAATCAAAAGATGAGAATGGAAAATGGATGAAAAGTTATGATCCTATCCAAAAAAAATCTGAGCAGGTAAGACAAACTATAATGACAAATCTCCACGTTTTTGCTTCATTGAGAAGTCACTATTATTTCATCTCACCTCCTCCTCAGGCTTCTGCTCAGTGTTTTCAGCAGTTTTAAAGGACTCATTTTGCAGCTGGTGAACCTGTGACAAATCCTCCACCAAATCTGGGTTATTCGCAGACTGTGATGTTCCACCACTGAATGAACTCTCAGAATGAGCTAATCTGAAAAGGCACATAATAGCAAAAGAAAAATATTTAATCACCGTATTGCTAAATCACTTCCTCCCTAATCTTCTAAAACATGCAAAAATGTTGCAAATATATTCAGTTCTTACACTAGCAAGAAAAAAAACAGATTTTAAAGAGTCATTTTTGAAGAACTGGCTGTTCCATCCAAGCAACTGCTCTAACTACCATAGTTACTATGGACTTTCAAAGACAGTTTGATTTTTAAAGTGTTACTTTGTTTCATTTTTAGTGAAGCTTTTGGTTATACAAACAACTGTCAAGCAAGTAAACATTTGGATCAGAAATCAGAAAGCATGAATCTACGACTCTTCGAAAATACCATAAGGAATTTTAAATGAATGGTTTAGCCTTCAATCAATGTAAACGTTCCTGGATGTATTTAACGTATTTCTCCACAAATACACTTAAAGGTTTGTGATTGTGTATGATTTTGGATTGAACTTCATTGAACATAATCTCCTGTTGATACATGCAGGTATTTAAAACACAAACATGACCAGCTCCCAACAGACTCCTGAATGGCCACTATTTAATTTTGCTGGAAGAGCCGTATCAATGAACCTTACTCCATGAAAGGGGAAGCTGGCTGGAGGCAAAACCCCCACCAAGCATGCAGAAGTATTTCTGAAGCTAGGTAGACAGAGATGAGCACATACTTTGGGGCAACAATCCTATAGTCATTCCCACCACTGCGCTCAGTGGGTAAATTAATATAAGATTTTGGGACTCAGACTCTAATCCCTTCTTGAGCCAGGCTGAAGATGACTTGGCCTTGCTCAATTACATTCATGAAAATTACTGTAACAGTAGCGTATGCTTCAAGTCTACTTTGTTCATTTACTCACATCTACAGCTGCTTACATGCAAGCCAAATTTTAAATATTCAAAATAATTGTTCCTGTTAATGTAGAATGCAGCTATAGAAAACTGAGATATATTAACAGAATTGTTAGTTGAATGCCTACAGGAAAATTTTTCTTTAAATAGAGAGAACAGCGTATTTTCATTATTCACTACAATCAGCAACTGTGGCATAATTACCGGGGAAGACACAATGGCTGGAGAGATCCATGCCTGACTTTCAGGTATCAGATTGAGTTCATATCACTAACAACTAGAGAGGGAGAAATGGAACAAAGCATATGTACTCCTATAAGTTAATTACATTTGGTATGTGTCAAAGAAAATGGAACAGTTCAGTTTCTTAGAATCACTGTTGGAGTCTGAAGAACATTTCAGCTTTCCTATCCATTACCCCTTAGCAGGGAAGCTTTCTAAACTACACATACAGGAAAAACTTCAGTGTGATGTAGCCATGTGGAGTGAAAGCTGATGAAAGCCCATTCAACACACTAATACCTCTTAAGCACAAACCCAATTTGAACACGTATCTCATTTGGCACCAGCAAGTTTGAAGTTCCAGATATGTAAATCCAAATTCAGACCTACTTGAAGTAAATGTGTCCATATTAATTTTTACAGGACTTTACCTGCCTGCAAAACTCTGAGTTTTATTGCTTAGTGCTTTACGAAACAGAAAAGAAACTTCAAGTATCAAAACATAGCAAGAATACCATGAATTCCTAAAAGACAACTTCTTTTGACATTGTGATTTTAAGAAATGGCATTGTTTCAGTCTGTAAAAGCAGAGTCTGACAAAAAGGAACGACGTCGATTTCTCAGTGATTTTCAGAGATCAGTGATGAATAGCGTTTTTTTAATAGAAATAATTTATTTAGCAGGGACGACTGTAGCCACCAGATACACCCTCCCTCTCTGCCCCCACCACACCAAATAAATCTGTCTTAAAGACTAAAATCCTAGGGAAGCAAACTTCTAAAGATAAGAGATAATAAAGCTTGTGATCATTTCCATCAGTTCAGAAGAGTCCTGGTTTCTCCTAGAGTGCTGTGATGTTCTACCAAGGCCAAGAGAGTGTTGTATGATTTATTTTTATTGGTTTTATTTGTTTGGTTTTTTAAAATTACTTAGAATGCCCTCTTCTCACTGAAACACTTTCCTAGGGAAGTCTAGAGACAGTATCTATCAGAGGAAGGTTAAAAAAAGTAGTTGCTTACCCAGTTACAGTAATTTCACTGCCTTCCTTAGATCCATCTTCATCCGCAAAAAGTGGAGGAAGGTTGGAGCCAGCCACCAAGTTCTCCATATCTCTGGAGGGGGGAGGAGGGGAAGAAAAAAAAAAAAAAAAAAAAAAGGCAGAAAAGGTAAGTTAGTTATCTCATTGTTTCCCTTCAGCAGCACTTCAGTTTGAACATCACAACATACCACAGATTTTTTTACCCCACAGACCAATTGGCCCATCATTGCTGGTTGGCCTCAGGACAGATCGATCCTACAGGCAGCTGTGCTTAAGGTCAGAGAAAAAAGATCATAAATGATGCTTTGATTCAGAGTTTCTCTCTTAACTGAGCCCTGTGTCAGTGTCACAGTGTTGCTGGAAATCACACTGTAGCATTCTATTTTATCCCCACTCTTCCAATTGCCCTTACTGTTCATCCTCAACTGTGCACCCTCACCACTGAAATTTGTGTTGACCCCAAAAGAAAACTGAAACTAAGTCCCCCCATGAAGTTTCAAATTAAGATTGTATTTTGTAATTCCTTGTGCACATTTTCACAATATACCTATGCTCATAGTTGAGTGTTATTGCTGAGTAGAACACAGCAATATTAGCTAGATTATTTTAAGCTTTGACTGCCACAGAACAGTTACAGAAGCAAGCAGTTTAAGGCACAACATACTTCTCATTCAATACAAATTGTTCCTAAGTTCAAACTAGTTTCTTTTGCATCCTTGTAGCCTGCCATGGGAATGAGAGATAAGAAATCCAAAGAATCATTAAATTTATTCATCCCCTTTCTTACTAAAATACAGAACTGTTGTATTTTAGGAAAAAAAAAACAACAGTAATCCCAAACCAAAAAGCCTTGATAAACTCACTCTACAATTATGAATTGGAGTTTCAGCTCATTGTAAAGGGCCATACGAGTTAACTTCCCGCTCCTTCAGTTTAGAAGTGACCTTTGATGAGCTAGCAGATATGCCACCTGAGCATTGCTATCCCTTTCAGCTAGTACACTTGGGCTTTAAGCTTGGAGGGACTGATGTAAGTTATGATCTTGTGCTGCTTTCTCCTGGATTGGTATGCTTTCCACTCAGCATTGAAATCAAAGTGATCCGAGACTGTCACACGTTTTTTGTATTGTATGTGTTTTCCCACACCCCACCCCAGTTCCACAGGTAAAGGTTTTCTACAGACAGAAGTAATGACACAGTTTCTTGCATCTTATACCACCTGCAGATCCCTATCACACGTACCGCATCTTATGGGACGCAAAACTTGTGCCAACAAACCAGTGAATACAGCAGGCCACCCAAACAGGTGAGCACTATGCTCCTACTCAAAGGACATTGGATGTGACATTTATACCACAGCTATATTTGGTTAAAATTGGTCAAAGGACTCAAAAGGCTGTTCTCAGGAACCAAGAGTGTAATCATACATCTGACATTCTGTTTTGAGATCTTGAGCTCTGCTCTATTCATTTCATGCCTCTCTTTGAAAACGTAAGAATATCTACTCTCCTTAGCAACAGCTCTACACCTTCATAAGCTACTACAGATGTTAGTTAATAACCTGGTAAGTCTCCAATTTGTTTAGTTTATGCTCACAGTAGATCAGTTTAAGGCCTCCATTAAACAAGCGTTGTGTCAATCTGATTTCCACCATGAAGTTCATTTAAGTTTCCAAATACTATCCTTCCTATACAGAAGGAAAGTGCAAGAAAGAAGAGTAGTTACCTTCTCTAATTTTTCAGATGACATTCACCCTTTTCTTTCCTGCTTTTCCAACTGTTAGGACTCTTAGATCATCCTTAAGAATCCCATCATTCTCATTCCTTATCTAGAAAATAATTAAAGCTAAGTAGATTGATTCTAGGTGGTACAGACATAGACCTCTAGCAGATAAAAATCCTTTACTAATGTATAGAAAAGATTCAACCAGGAATGAAGAAATCTAATTCCTGGTCTACCATTATAAACCGTGAACAGAGTACAGTTTTGGGGCCTCAGAGACATGGCAAAGCTAGAGACTGTCCAGCAAAGGGCTGCCAAGATGGCCAGAGGCCTAGAGCACCTGACCTGATAAGGGACACTGAGGAAACCAGGCTTGCTCAGCCTGGCAGAGGAGGCTGAGGGAAAATCTAATAGATGCCTAAAGCTACCTGATGGAAGTAGCAGAGACGACAGAACAAAAGTCTCAATAGTTATACTGGCTTTGCACATTCAGACTGGACAACAGGAGGGAAGCACAACGCTTGAACAGGTTAGCAGAGAGGAGGCGGTGGAGCCTACCCTTACAGTTTTTAAATGCTCAGTTACACAAAGCTGTAACTGAGCTAAACTAGTGTTGGCAATACTCCTGCTTTGAGTGGGAGGCTAGACTAAGATGACCTCCAGATGCCTGTTCCAAGCAACATCTGCAGTTCTCTGAACCGGAACTCTACATTATGCTTTCTTTCAAGTACTAGCATCTCTGACATAAAAAAGGAAGAAAAGTCAAACACAGTGATTTTAGGAAAAGTGGCAAGATGCTCTGGTGGAACATATAGGACTTTAACTCTTAAAGGAGGAAGCGTAAACAATACTCCCTCACACATAGAAAAAGAATCTACATCAAGGCTGGGGCTTTATATATTACAAGAAAATCTGAACATTCAAATGATTTGAAGAATGAGCTCTTCACTAATGCCCAGAAAGCTGTTTAAGCACAGCTACTAAATATACAACATAAATTGCTTCATGCAGTTGTCAAGTAAGAGAGTAAGGAAGTTTTGCTTTGTGTTACACAATCTTTTAGTTTTGCCAGTCAAAAGTCCAAATTAATATCTTCAAAAAAGGAAGCTTAAGCAATTAAGACTTAAACCTTGAAAATCTATTTTAATATGTATCAGAAAAAGCTTTACGCATGTCTGAAAAAATAAAATAGCTTGCTTTGTTGTCCAGGCACCTCCAGCAGCCTTCTTGGGGTCAAGGACCTCTTCTCAGCCTCACCATGACAATCTATTCACACTTAGCACTCCCACACATGCCTTAAAAGAATACATATCCTCTGCATGCCATTACCAAGTGCTTCTGTCCCTCATGCCCACTGTGACCTTCCCACCAGGTCTCTATATGTCTGTTCACATTTGGACCTAGTCAGCAGCAGCAGAATCTAAGCTTGCTTTCAAACTGTAGGGAGGCAGCTGGACATCAACCTTAACAACATATAAGCAGAACACAAACACAGGAAGCTGGGAGAACACACAATTTTTTTTTTTTTCCGCATTTAACCCATATGCTTTAGATACTCACTCTTTCAGTTGATACTGAGCCACTTTCTAAGGAAAAATTATTAACATCAGTAAACTTACAATGGCTTCTTATGTATTCCAGAAAGCGAGAAAACAAGACAGTTCCCCAAAAGCTCACTGAGAAGGCATGGGAACCGACACAAGCCTTTCCATCACATTTCTCGTGGATAACGGTCCCAGGCCTTTGCTCCAAAGCCACTATGCACTAGTTTCAACCCCACTGCAGAGCTACATGTTCATTTCAGAGATGTAACAAAACAAAAACCTAAGGAAAAGAACAGTAATATAGAAGGAAGGGAACTGCTGCTTCTCAAACTTCAGCCTTTACAGAATTCACAGGACTTTAAAAGGACAGTTGGCAAGTCCCATCTAGATTTGTTCTGAATATTTGTGCAGCTTTGTCAATTTAAACTCTGGCTAAAGCGCCTAATGAGACACATTGGACTAAATGCAAGGCACAAGAAACAATGTACACTTACTTTCTTAACAGCTAGCACATATATCCAATCTGCATTTTTTAACTGTCAATCCAAATGGAAAATAAGACTGAAACTGATGGTAAACTCTAAACCTTTACAAGCACTACAGTCAGTGCAAGTAAGCACCACTTCAAAATAAACATAATTCAAACTAGAGCAGCTCTGAGTTCACTGTACTACTAGTTGTACTGGCTCAAGGAAGCAGCCAGCTACACAGGAATATAGAAAGACTGACTTATTTATTAACAGCAGCATTTGATAAAGTGCTTGAAGAACTGTGATTTATTTTGGGATAGATCAGTTCTGGAAGATTAGGCATGTACTCAAATACATTTCCTTTACAACTTTTGTAGGGTGGAGCAAAGACTGCAGCCAAACCAAAACTGTAATGCTCAATCTTACCACCACTTGGAGTTTCCATAGAGATTCTGCTTCCATTTTAAGCACAATATTGCTCAACCAGAAACACTGTTCTCAGAATGCCAGCAGCAGATATATACCTCCCACTCTACTGTGGATAAGTTGATACCATCAGCAATAAATTTTTCTGACTTTACCTTAGTTCCAAACACTCCAGACTCCCCTGTGCACTGATTTTACTCCAAACACTCCAGACTCCACAGGAACTTGAGATTTAGGGGGTTTTTTATCCTTGCATTTCCTACATCCAACATAATAGCAGTCAGTTGTGGAGCAGCAGTAATAACCTGACTTACAGAGGCTGGAAGAGTTTTTGGATGTCTGGTTTGGGGTGCACTCCCTACCAATATTTAAAAAATGATTAAAAAAAAAATTCAAAAAAAGAAAGTACAAGGATCAAGGAGTAAGTATGCAAGCTTGAGCTCCAGAGAACACAGCAGCATTATATGTGCAAAAATCCATGATGAGACCAAGAAAAATACCAGTGAAGAACACATTTCCTACCATTCCATGCTCTCAATGTTTAAACATTGATAAGATTTCCAAAGATCCATTAGTCACCTACACTAACATTAAACCTCTTTATAAGCCTAAAGAAGATTCTACATTATCCTAAGCCACCAAAAATCTGGCTTAATTTATCTTTTTCTTCCCCTCCCTTACCTCATCTCTCAGCAAAAATAAAGGCTTCATGGTCTAGAAAGGCTCTAACAGTATTCTTAAACTTTCAGTTTAAATTTGCTAGCTGGACACTTCACTTGCATGCATTGAGAAATCATACTTAATACTACAGAGTGTACCAGCGTGGTTTGACAGTGTTACCTGGGAAATGAAAGAAGAACTTACACAGCATAAAGATCTATGTGCTACTACACACATCAATAGGGAAGAATCGAACAGTAGGTAATCAAATACCTTTCAAAACTAGAAGTATAGTTTAAATAAGCTTCCTTAATTTCTTCTCACATTAACTTTTGATCATGCCATATAATTGTAACACTAAGTAGCTGAATAGTATTTTAGGTAGACTGAAAGCTACCCTATGATCTCACTTCTAGTTACATCTGTAGAGTAGAAAGGAAAAGTTAAAAGAAGTCAGTTGTAAAAACAGGGTGAGAACAAATCCATGACAGGAGCCAGATAGAATAACTGACTTTTCCATATCATTACTGTGGTTGCCTCGTTAACGATGCTATTACAGGGCAGCAGACCTAAACACACAGGTGATGTATAACCTAAAGCCCTTTTTTTTTTTTTTTTTTTTTTAAGAGCCTGTTATACATGCAATAAATGAAGGGTAAAATGTCACAGTGAACCTTTTCTTCAAAGAATCAGATCATTTTACTCAAACAGCAAAGATGCCATTTAAAATGTATAATCAAACAGCGTAGCACATCAGGGTAGCACGTCTGCATTCTTATTTTTCAAAGGAGACTACTAGAGCCAGAGTAGAACACATTCATGGCTAGACTGCTACAACAACGCAAGCCACAAGCTGCCATCCTTCTCTAAGCTGTGAGCTGCTGTGTCATAGCTCACCGCAGATGAAAAAACTGCCTCTTCTAGACCCAAAGCAAAGCAATTACTGCACATTCTCCAAAACATTCATTGCTTCCATAAAATGTAACTTGCTTTGTTTGTGTAAAGTGATTCACAACATACGTGAAATGAGGCTGGACTCTACAGTGTCTGCACAGGTCTGGTCATGCAGTAAGTCACTGTTAAATGCGGACTGACTTCTTACTCATCCCAAGGCCACATGGAGTCTTAAGATGGCCCTGAACACTGGAAAAGAAGGGTGAAAAGTGTCCTTAGCAATGTTGCTTTTTCAATGACTACATATTAGATGATCTTAAGAAAAAAGAAATGCATTACTAAACTATTTAGTCATCCAATTTCCGATTAGAAGATAAGGTTTAAATACATATTTATTAGAGTTAAGCATATTTAAATATGAAGTCAGCATCAGAAATCCAACTTGCAGCCTGATTATAAAACACTGCAGGAGTTCCAGTTACCTCGTTGCCAGCTCTAGTTTTAGAAACACTACTGCTGAGTGGACGATTTTTCTCCCATACTTCTTATTCCTGAAGAGTCTCATCCTTCTTTGCCAGAACAAATAGCTCCAAACCTTACCAATCAGAGAATAACAGATTAAAAAAAATTCTACTGTGTCACAGAAGAATCTCAGTATTCCTTATCCAAACATCAGAATCCAAGCACTTCATAATGTGAGTAATTTAAACTCAGATGATTTACTGATAAAAAAAGAATGGAGGGTCATCTCTTCCTCTGTTCACACGTAGCCAGAATAACAGAAAGAAAACTGAAGCAAGTACATCTCCAATTAAAACCACAATGCTTTTTGGAGCTGTCAGAGTTGTTCAGATTCTATCCTGACAGCTGTGTTTTCTTCCATCAAACTGGAGCAGAAGCATATTATCCAACATCCTTGACTGAAAAAATCAGATTTGTTTTTTTCCCTACAGGCAACTCATTAGACAAAGGTCTTTGTGACTTCAGAAAAATTGCAAGCCAAACCTAATGGGAGGAAGGTTTTTCTGTCGGACCAGAAAGTATATCCCAGAGCACAGCCAACTGCTTTTATTTTTACTTCTTGCCAGTAAAAACAAAGAAACTAGGGACCAAAATAAAGACTTGCAGGAAAAAATTCCAGAGTTTCACTGCACTTCCAAGAAGCCTAAGGAAAGAAGGGAAAAAAGTAAAACTTAGTTCTATGTTTAGTTTATTTGGATCTTTGTGGCAAACACTAACAAAGCTATTCATACTCAGACCTTAGTAACAGCTGCCGAACATCTGCAAAAATGTATTTTTAAAACACACAAGTGTTCAACTCTATATTCTACTCTTATTTATATAAATGCATTAGGATGGGGCATATACAAGACATCTCATATATATAAAATGCTCTTGTTTTCTGGAATTTAACCCCTTATTCATACAGAGAAGCTATATACTCAACTCTGCAGACAAAAGCAAGAACAACTCTGCAGTGATTTCCCTCTCCCTTCAAATACATGAAAGAAATTTTGCACCAGCAATAAATAACATTTTTAGATCACTCAAGGGAAAACAAGACCCCACAATGAGATGACTGTACAATTAGTTGTGCCATCCACCCCTAGATAGGTAAAATCAGTAACTGTCATACATGTACCCAGAGGGAAGGCTTTGTTACCCAGCCCTTCACTGCAGGTACTAAGCATCTACAGATTATGATAGTTCATTTTATTCTGAATTAGCTTTCTTAACGGTAGTATCAGATGCCATTTAAAATAATACCACTAACTCAGCAAAATTGATTTAATCTTCATGTTACAGATCTCACATGAGGAAATATAAACCATTCAGATCACAAAAAGTAAGTATCGAAATAAATCTTGAGAATATTTTAATTTTAATTAGTCGTTCTAAGGTAAGTACAGTATTTAACTACCAGGGATGGCACTAGCTTTTGTAGTTTGTCCATAAAAACCTCTTCTGAATTTCCAGTTACTATCGGCAATTTAGTCTACCTCTTCACCTGCTGTCATCTGAAAATTTCTCTAGGATCTGAGAACTTTGTATTTCACAGGACAAAGTTTTCCAATAGCTACTTTTATACTAACAAGGCAAAAAGGATACCCCATAAAAACCCCACAACCACCAACTATGTAATGGAACAAACCATGTCTGAAGCACAGGTACGGCAATTATAAATCATCCAAGACTTTACCAGATCCTGCTAGCTTCCCCATCAGTAAGTAAATGGTTATTTTCCTTCAAAATTGAAGTTCAGTTCTTCTGATCATTTATATTAGTAAGACTCAATCATTTCACTGTTTGTAGAATGCAAACATAAAAGTGCCATGAGCAAAGCAGTTTATTAAAAAATGTAAATGAACAGACTGCAGTTTTTCATGTTGTTTGCCCAGCTCTAACATTTACCAGCATCACACAAGTGAAACAAGAAATAGTATTAATTAAGTGCTTGAGGACTACTTTGATTTAAAATACCAAACAAGTATTCTGAACTAGAGATAACTCTGAATGTCAAGGAATCCTGATTGTGACTGGCCAGTGAAATGGAAAGTTACATATTTGGAAAAAAAAAATAAAATCCGAAGAGTGGATACACCTGCTGAGATTGAAAAGTTGTTTTAAAGGTATTTTAGCACTTTTGCTCTCTCAAAGACTTAATCATCAAAAAGTTGTCAGGGAAATACAGCATAAACTCCTAGCTCACTTAAATGCTGGGAGAGGAAACTCTGGCTGCTGCCACAGAGGAATACAGATTGGAATTTCTCATGCACATACCCACCAAAACAAGTCATTACTGACCAATTTACAGAATATGGGGTTGAATACTTCGGATGTGAGACTATACTGAAAAAGAGATTGAGTATATACTTAAAAGAATGACTCACCACAGGCTTCATGACCCAACACAAAAGCATCTACTTTGACCTCAAGAGCCACAAAGGCAGCATGGAACTGGATATTTTAAATGCATTGATATGGGTACAGGGACAAAGGTTAGAGGAAATGAAGTGTGGGAAGAGTCAGTGATTCTCACACAAAACAGGCAACTAATTCTGCCTGTTTTCAGAAAAGACCCATCTTTAGAAAAAATATGACATGCCAGCTTCCATACATTTTTGCTTTTTCTTGCTGTTGCCTTGCACTATTCCAACATAAAACAAATGAGTTCAAGCAAACAAAACCCTTTAATTTAGAAGAAATGACAATTTTTAGATAGCCTTAGTTGCGCAAAATAACAGGTATATAGACGTTCACTCTGATCTGCTATTTCTTTCCCTTTAGAAGATCAACAAAACTGATACTAGCAAATTCTTTCCAATAGCAAGAATAGCAAAGATCTAGCTTGGCCTGTTTGTTTCTAATCTGTTCTTAAAGCTCTCTAGTAATAGATAAATATGTAGCAGAAATGAAAGGTTGGACATATAATGCATAAAATGCATCAAAATCCCTTTTCAGCCAAGGCTCTTCTAACAGTCTTTAATTTTGGATTGTTTTTCACACATCACATCACTGGCATCACCGATAAGAATTGTATAGACCACAGAAACAGACTGATGGAAAAAGGAATAAGGAAAACAAGCACAAAAGAACAGACACAAGGTTCAAGCAAGTATCAAGATAACAGTGGACACTGCTTACAAAACCTTGCCTGAATTCATGAAAAGAAAAGAAACAGAAGTTACAGCACGATCCGGCCAAAGCATCCTCTCCCCTGGAGCAGCAGGTATTTCCTTTGACCAGTGCTAACAAGCTTTTGAAGCTGTCTGGGGCCACAGATGAAATGTATAAAGATAAATACTGTAGGAAAATACTACACCCAAAACACAGATGAAAAATTTTAGGGAAATTGGAAAAAGACTGTAACTATGTGCTCTTACTTAGGCACATACCAGGATTCCCCTCTCACCATCAAAAGGGAAAACACATGGAAATTTTAAAATCATACAAGACCCCAGATACTTCCATGGCTCCATAAAAGAATTAACCTATATCAACAATAGAATGCAGACCAGTTAGAATAATGTTTTACCTATCCTCATCTTCATCTTTCAAAGGCAACATGAGATTATGTTATTTAGCATCATGAATGGAAACAAGGGAAAAAAAACAACAGTATAAGCCTACCGAAGTAGTCTGACTGCTCTCCAGTTTTAAGCAGTAAATCAGACATCCAGAGGTGTGTATGAGGTATGGGATGAGGCAGGTAGAGAGCACATTTGTGGAATACCTGTGAAAATACTTAATTTTGCAGCTTAAGTAGGATTGAAAAGAAAGAAGCCATGCCAGCAGTATGCCTGAATATCCTAGGCTGAGTGCTCAAAACAACAGGTAAATATTTGCAGTACTTCATCTGATCCCCAAGCCACCTCCAGCAGCCCCATCAAATTACTGAGAGGACAGTTTTGTAACTTCTTTCTACTGTCTTACTGATGCTGCGATATCTTCTTTGTGCCTATCCTGCCATACCACAGGCAAGAAGTCAAAAAAAGCTGGGGGAAAACAGTGACTAAGAGCAGAGCATCACTGCCTAGAGCTAGGAGCCAAAGAGCAAACAAGAACCTGGGAAAAGTGTGGCTAAGACCTGTAATCTGCTTTTCCAACTTCCCTCTTCCACAGCTGCTCCTTAGATGCTGGAAACAAGGAACTGCAGATGGGAAATGTGCACAAGCTTTACACAGTAGAGTTGATCTATGTAGACAATAATTTAGTACTAAAAGAGAATGTAAATCTTTTCAAATAGGCTGAAGACTCTAGACACAGGGATGGAGGCCTCATATGTACACACAAGACCTCAAGCACTTACGTTTGAAAGGATCCTTAATTCATGTTTAGTTAAAAATGTTCTGAAAGATATTTGGCATTCAGGTTTGAGTATTTACTGTATTTAGCAAACAGCAAAGATTCATATTGCTTTTACATTTCCTTTTGATGATTTCATTTCTCTATATATTTGTTAAGTAAATATAGATCCTCTGAGCTAAAACATAAATATTATCCCAACACCCCTATATATGGGTAAAGAGGCATAGCTAGTTTAAAGAAGGTCATATAGGAAATCTCCAAGAGCTAAGAATAAAAGTAAACTTCAGAAACAATCTTTAAAGTGTTACCAATCTTAACCCTTCCATCTTGGACATCTCAACTGTTAGTCATTGCTTGGTTTCCAACATCTAGAAGTAGCTGTGAGAATCTGACTTGAATACACATTACACAATTCTTACTGCAAAGAGAAATAAGAACGAAAGTCTGCGTGATCCTTGACAAAAGGTCAGCAACACTCTGGTTTACAAAGCATTAAATAGTGGGAAAATGGAAAAGTTTTGTATTTTCAGAGGGCTACAACATAGATTTCACCTCAGAATAACCTCATAACCCAGAGTTCATTGCCTTGATCAGAAACAAAGCAAACTGGCAGAACACAAGTGTTTAGGCATAGTCTGCCTTTTTTGATTTGTGGAACCTAACTGTTTTATAATAGAAGCGCAGGCACAGTGCTGCAATTTCAGGAAACTTACTTTTCTTGGTTACCTTTTACAGCCTGTTAGAAGTAAAATCACGGATTACCTAAGGATCCATTACCACATTTAA